AGAAGGAGCCTAAACGCCTGGGCCAGACAGCTTCTCACATGGAACCAAGTGTCGTCATGTGTGCATGTGTGTGTGTGCGTGTTTTATATGTGACGTGTGTCATACATGACCCCCAGGTGTAATTGAAGAGCTCTGTCCTGTAACCGTCTGGACGCATCTTCCTGCCACAGTGATGAGACATTAACAAGGTCCCCAGCTTCACAGACACGTTTCATTTAGGCTCCGGGGACCACGGGGTGCGCTTCTGTCCCCACGAATCCCAGCCAATTCCTTCTGTGATTCAGCCCCAGAAACAGTTTGGCAGACAACACGCAGGTGGGATCCAATTTGAGGAAATATCGGCAGCCAGCTGATAACTTCTGCACAGCCCGTCGTGAGACTGACTTACGGTGACAAAATGTATTACACGCACAAAACCCGTTAAGCTTTCCGGACACATCGGGAATTGTAAGGCAACGGGTGTTTTATTTTTGACGCAGCTAAATGCACCCACAGCCCGATGGCCTTCATAAGTAATCATCGGGATTGCCCATCAGAGGAAAGAGCCCTCGGAGTGATTCGGAAAAGGCCACACGCACCCAATAATCCGAAGTGTCACCATTGTATGCAGCGCAGAGCGAACCCGGCAGCAAGAAAAATGGAAGGAGATGGGCCACACACTGGAAATCTTATATTTCATGTATTTAAAAAATCTTCAAAAACTATTTATGTGCATGTGTAGGTTGGCTGGGATAGAATGCATATAAATTGCATCAACAATAAGCCAAAGAGCCGACTCTCCACGTCCTTGGGATGAATCCAGTCACTGAAATGTCTACGCAGTGCTCAGGTCTTGGAGCATCACGCCCCCGGCTGACCCCATGAGTGTGTCCTTTGTGCCAGTTCCTCAAACGAAGCCGGTTTAATCCACGAGTGTGCCTTACGCCTGTTCCTTGATCCGCTGCAGAGGATGCTCTCCCGGGAGCCGTAATCGCGGTCAGCGTGTGAGACTGACCACGATGCGCATTAAACAACCTGTTTTCCTCACCTTTGACCCTTGACTTCCATGCACTTGTGACTTCAAAACAAAAGACTTCTGTCCATCCTATCATTTTTTAACCTGTCCTATATTCACACCGAATCTTCGTTTTCCCATGATCCCTAATAATTTCTGTGTTTCATAATGAGTGGTGCAGGGGAGCCCCCGTTGCTGGATGGGAAGGGCGCACGGCCTGGGAGACCCTCTCTGCTCTCGTCTCTTGTCCATGCCAAGTTTCTCACTGTCCTGAGCTTTGTCATCAGAATGGATATTAACACTTTCCCTTCGGAGACACAACAATTCGGATTGTTCCCTGCAGTGAGGAGATTGGATCGGCTGGAAAAAAAATTCATGGAAGAGGGAAGGCGTCCAGGGTGGTCGCCCGGGCAGATAGCGCCAGTTCCTTCCCGGAACCGGTGTGGCCCAGGAGCCAAGGCGCCCAAGCTGCCAGCCCCCTCCTGCCCTTACGCCAACCCCAGGGCGAGCTCCCTTGGCAGCAGTTGGCAGGGAGTCAGGGGACGTGCTTGCGCCGCAGCCTCCGCTGCTCTGTGCCCGCGGGACGTGCTCAGCCAGGCTCCAGGGTGTCCACATGCACGCAGCTCGTCGCTGCCCAGAAACCAAACCTGTCACCTGGCAGGGGTAGGATCTATCGGCATCACCTGTCCCCCAAAGCTATATGCCTCTGGGGTTTTTCCCCTAAAAATAATTAGCATGTTTCATGAAGCTTTTCTATTTTCAATGAATATTTTAAATCCTCTCACTGAGGAGGTTGTTATATTAAGTAAACCACAAGCTCTGTTACACTTTTTATGCTTATGATAAATTTCCTGTAAAATAAAGATTATGTTTACCTTGTGAAGTCCTTAGGTTCTAAAATACGTTAAAAGTTTAATGAGATACTTCCATAAACATTTTCTAGAACATTTTCAAAGTTCATAGGTAAAAATATTTCTGATTTTAAATGAGTTCTTATTTATAATGTGTGATAAATAGCTTTCTCTTTGTTCAAATATAACTTTCGTTTTTAAAAGTATCCTTGAAGTGTGCAATAAGACCTTTCTCGATAATTTATATAATGATAACTTTTTGGAAATTTAAATAGCACAAAAGCTGTTTTTAAAATGACAGTGAAACAATAAAAACGACAGTGTAGTGTAAGCCCAGTGTGGAACCCAGCCTTGATTGGTTTGCAATGGAAAATCTTTTACATTTGGCCACAAGATGGTGCAATCACAAAGCAAATCACAAAGATAAACCAAATTATATTCCAAATTATCTGTACTTTGCTTGTATTTCTTCCCAAGCCAAACCTTTAAAAGTAATAATTCTTATCAGGTGGGCTGTTCCCCTGACTTATTTCAAGATCTGTTGCCGGTTTGCATTTGGGGGAAATATCCTATCTGACTCTTTCCGTATCTCAAAAATGACTCTTTTTCTATTCTCAGAAGACACAGATAGTTTTATCTGTGATAGAATCAAAATGGAAAACAGTTTCCCTTAGAACTTCGAAGGCACAGTCCATGGTCTTCCAGACAGTGTCTGTTGAAGAAACATCTGCTGACCGTCTGGAATTTGTTTATTTTTAGATGACCTGTTTCATCCGCAGGCCTGTTTGTTTTTGTCGGTGTCTCTGGAAGATCTTAGGCGGTGGTTTTGACGAGCAGCGGCCCTCAGCCTCACAGCACGTCAGGGGCCTGTGGAGCCACTATTTGGGCTCACCAAATATTCCCGCCTCTGTCTTCTGAGCCCGGTAGGTTGGACCACATGACGAGCTATGCACAGGAAGGGCGAGTGAGCCTGGTATGTGCCACTTTGGCGCTCAGCATTTAGTTGCCGAAGGGAGATTTCTAGAATATTCTATTCTTCTGCCCCAAGGCCCAGCTGGTGACTATTCAGCTAATTTGCTTTCCAAATTAAGGACAATCCAGAGCAGGGCGCCTTTAGAACTCAGCAGATAAATTCTTAATGGGACTTAACCTTTATTGTTTCAAGTCAGCGGAATGGGAGAATTGGTTTTTTTAGCACGACGTAGCCTTGCTGTCTCACTGGTTTGGTGTGTTTTCCGTGCGCTGTCATTTTTGTGAGCACTAGATGGACCTTTTTAAACAGAAGACTCCTCTCCACCTGAGAAACGTCATTCATGTGCTTTGTAATTTTCTCTCTTGAGCGATACTACCTTTCTTTGAAAATCTATCATAGGTTGGGATTTTTCAACAGGCAGATTTTCTTGTTTTAAAAAAATGTTTGCCCTAAAATATTTACATTCCGAGTGATCATAAAAGGTCTTCTTTCCAGCTATGGAGGCTGTTGTGTTCGTGACATTTGTGTTCAGAGGTAACTGACGATTTTTCCTTTGCTTCCAGTTGGGTCGCATCTTGGTTCCAAGTGTGAGGATAAATCTTAATTCCCCTAAAGTGAGGAGAGAGGTTTGCCCTCACTACCTTGGGGGACACTGAGTACCTCAAAATAAAGAATTCTGCTCCTTTCATTGGAGCTAATAAATCAAGCACAGCCTCTTAATCATTTTTAGCAACATGTTTTTCGGTAATAATGTCAGTCATTTCACAGCATGCTTTTTGCTAAAAAAACATTAAAAATCAGTTAGCTTTCATTAAAAAGCGATCAGAAGATACTCCATTTTCAATGTCAAATTATTTCTCGCATGGTTGGCCCCAAACATCTAAAATCGCTCTTCCTTACTCATCCTTGGGAAGACAGATCTTTGTTTGATTTTTACTGGAACATTTTTAGATAGACGTTATAAAGTATAATTCTATTCCATAATAAGATAGGGCATAGACTTTAGAGAGAGAATTATTACATAGAGTTTGAGATAGAGAATTAGTAACTGTAGAGCTTTGAAACAATGACAAGTGGGTTAGTAATGAGTCAAGAGACCCTGACAGTGACCTAGCTGGAGGAGACATAGGAGCCCCATTGTCTCGGCCGAGAGAGCGAGCCCAGGACTTGGGTGGAACTTGCTGGAAACCCGGGGAAGGCCTCCCCAGAGGTGCCGGGCTACAGAGCCATGGGAGGGGCTGCTGGCCACCAGGTGTGCTGGCCACGCGACCAGGGTCCAGTCGCTGGGAGGCCACTGCATGAGGAGTGTGGCCTTGGGGGAGCCGGGCATGATGCAGGGGTCAGTGCTCGGGGAGGGGACAGGCTTTTCTGGGCCTTTTCGGACCCCGCCAACTGGCATCTGCCAACATCCAGACCAAGGCGGTAGGAGGCAGAAGGAAAACCCGGCGCAGTGACCGCCACACCGTCGGTCAGGTGCCACCCGTGGCCCGGTTCCGTTTGTCCAGGGCCTCTGATGTCCGCCGGGTTGTCGCATCCGAGGGACGGGGAGGGAGAGATGAGTCTTCTCCATTGTCCAGGAGCCAGAAGCTCCCCTTTGACTTTAAATTTTATTTTTCTCTCTTCTGACCAGCGCTTTGCTGGTCTTTAAATCAAAGGACATTATTCTTTGTTTTGTAAAAAAATGTAGATTTCTCTTCCAGAACATACGCTCATTTTTTCCCTGCCCTTCCCCTCTCCCTCCTACCTTTGGGCTTCATTTCCCTCCCCTCCCTCTGCCCTTTCCTCTCTCCCCCCCCTTCCTGCCCCAGCTACTCGGAACCTGTAACCCGAGAGGGGACTCAGTGACGCTCCTGTGCGACAGTCTTTCCCAATGACGTCACCTTCCCCTTTATTTTGATTTTGAAATATCAAAGGGACAGGTGAGTTTTGCAGTTTCGAGACATAATTTGTCTAAGCAATGGGCATTTTGGCCAAAAATACACCAAGACTTTTCATCATCAGAAATAATTTTATTGTTTATTTTAAAGCAGTTCGATGTAACCGGTAGCAAAATGTTACATAGACAATAAACAGGACCGGTTCCCTTAGGGTTAAAGGACTATCATTGGCTTTGTGTTTTATTTTCATGTGCAAGTGTAAGTATTTTAAAAAGGCAACCGTTTGTTAAAAGGCTTTTATTAGCATTTTTTTCCTTTAAATAACAGAAAGGCTAATAAACTACCATTGTTATAGCAAGCTGTAGGAATTGTGTCAAATAGGAAATTTGGACCAGCGTTCATAATCAAAAATAATTATTGTAAAATTTATGAAACAGCATTTTTCGTTTTATAGGAAATATAGTCACGCCCTAACTTAAAATCCTAGTCCTGACAGCCGTCCTAATGCAAAAAGACTGAACTTGAGGTCTTCGGAGGAAAAGGGAGGCTCATAAAATCTTATATTTATTCCTAAAAGTAACCATAATGAAGGAGGGAAGTGGCAGCTCGAAGAAACATCGTACTGACTGTTGATGCGCAGATAATTTTTAAAAATTAAATCCAAATTTTTAACATCAATTTTTGCATATGATTATTTCAGTACTAAAGGCATAGAAGAGGACTTTTAGTGTTTCAAATGTCTTTGTATTCCATAAAGAGTATAATTTTGCTGCTTTGAATTTTATATAACCTTTCTAATGAAATATTCTATGTAAATATATATAAAAAAATGTTGAAGCTCAATAGTCCAGTGAAAATCACTGCGTATTTCAAAGCCAATGTTTCAATTCTTGGATTACATTTAAGTCAACAAATACATTTTAAGTCTTTCCTCTCTGTTAGCCATCCTTTTAGGGGAACGATCAGTATTTTTGCTTTTTAGTGCATCTTCTTGACCTACCATGAAGGTCAGACGTGAAGTTAGCCGAAAGCTCAGGTTCTTGATATTTCTTTTTATTTTGGTGTCTTCGGTGTAATAAATCGTGCTGTGAGCATCTCAGATTCTAAAATAAATATAGTGCCCTATGAAAAGGCAACCAAAACAAGTTAAGATGACTTAAAAATTTATATCCTCAAGCAAACTATGACTCCTACAAAAATGTCAGCCAGAGGGTTGTTTGTAATCTCTGTGTCGAGACCATGAGGCAAGTCTGATGAGCTTAATTTTATAAAAGAGCAGTTTTAAAGAATACGAGGTGACATTTAATTTTTAGGAGGAGCAACAACCTTCGGTGTCCATTGTGATTCCCCACACAGAGCTGGGATTTTTTATTTACTTTCATAAAACCTTAACATTTTAAAAAATCGACTTCATCCAGTTTGGTCAAACAATTAAATGACCAGATTCAAAATTGTGTGTTTTCATTTAGGTTTTCAAAATCATTCCATTGACAGGAGGAATACCAATAAGCAGTATGTTAAATTTCAAAATAAACTCTACTTCTAAGAGAACAGACTTTTTAAAAATACGAGCTATTCGAACGTATCCCGACCTAGTTCGTGTCATGCCAGCAACGCCTTTTCCCCCGAAGCCGCAGAGTTCCTTCCAGAAAGCCCCCGGTAGGGGGAGCCCGCGGGGCTCAGAGCTGGGTTTCCTCCCGAGGGTCCCCGCCCGCCGCGCTGCACAGGCTCATGTGGCGACTGGGCTGGCCGCTGGGGAGGTAGGACAGGGGGTCGGGCCGGATTAGGTAGCTGAGGAGAGAAGACAGCAAGGGACGGCGACAGTCAGCACACGAAACTCGTCCAGGGGGACACCTGAAATGACTACTTCCAGTGGATTTGTTCAGCTTTAGGTTATCTAAACACGTCTCTATTTATAACATTGGCAGAAGGACTCACTGTTCGGTTGGCCTGTAAAATTTTACAGGGTTGGTAGTAATTTTATTTTATTTTAATTTATTTTATTTTATTTTATTTTACTTTACTTTACTTTACTTTATTATTTTATTTTATTTTTTATTTAATCTCATTATTTTATTTCATTTGATGTATTGGGGTAACATTGGTTAATAACATTATACAAGTTTAAAGTGTTCAATTCTATCATGTAACACCTTGTATATCGCATTGTGTGCTCACCCCCCAAAGTCTAGTCTCCTTCTGTCCCTGTTTAAAAGCACTTTAAATATCGATAGCATTGTAGATCGATGAAGAAAGCTGATATGCCTTTTAACGCCACATCACCTACGATTTATTGTTCTTTGAATCAAACTAATGTTGCCCCTTCATTCAAAATGAACTTTTGAGAGTGATTTTTTTAGAAAAACGTAAAAGGCATGAGTATAATGTATTAGCCCCTAAATTTACTGATGTAGCTGTAAAAGTTCCTTCCCCCAATAGTATCACTACGAAACCTATGAGTCTAATAAATTTCTACAATGCGTTTCTACATACTACTTGCCATGGTAGGCATTTTTTCATGATATTTATCATTGCTCTAGTTACACTAAAATTTAATTATCTCGATGCCACAAATACAGATCCTTGTAGGCGCATAATACACAGTTTTTGATTAATCAGATTACAACCTTAGAGCTTTTCTTAAGTGTTTTAAACTTTTTTACTTTGGTAGGAAATCTCAAGTCTTTAGGACTAGATAGTGTGAGACATTTCAGGTTTTCCTTTGGCCTGTTCTCTTACTATTCCCCATATTTCCTCTTATTTCCCCAAATAAATACTAACTCACAGAACACAGAATTCATGCTATTTCCTTCTTTGATTCCTGTACAATCCTGCAATGTAGTTTTTAATAGTATTACACACTGAAATACAGAAAATGCATTTGTTTATTGAGCACAAAAATTAGACAGGGGCATTTATATCACAAGAATCATAGGGACTATAAAGGTGGGGATAACAGTCTAAAAAAATACATTGGTGGTTTCCAAAAATAAAGGCCTTGTGAGAAAGATGTAAGGTCAACTTACACGACATCATTGAGCTCCAGCCTGGTGTCCGGAGACGGGTTAATCAGGATGTAGGACAGAGTGCTCTGATGGTCGTTCATCTCATCTGGAAAATAGGCCACGCGAGTTTGTTACGCCACTTACAGAAAACCACGGGTCATGATAAAGCATCTCACCCTCAAACCACAGAGCCGTCGGCGAGAACTCGCACAGCTTTGCCCACAGTAGGACTGTGCACGGCACTGACTGTTTTCAGATGACCTCCCTGGGAGTGTCTGACGGGTCTCCCTCTCTGTTCCAATGGGCCATAAAAGTTAAGTATCTAATTCTGTCCAGAACAACCACAGTGATACTCTCTCCTCGAAGCTTTGACACTGAAGAAGTATTTCTATTAGAGAAATAGCTCGACAGGATGTCGACTTGATTGATTATGCTTTATCAGTTATAAAAAAAATCATTGTGGGTGTAGATGGCCATCCCCTAAAGGGAGACTCATACGGGAAATTCTGTGAAAAATCGTCTAGTGACATTGTGTTTAGAAAACACAACAGAAATGTATCTAGAAAGCTTGAAGGCCCTAAATATGTTTGACTTTGTCACATGCTATGTCTCAAAAGGTATCCTATTGATCCTGTTGGTTTTGCCAAACCCAAAGGACCCCATGGGGCAGAATTGAACTGATCAAGTCATTTGTTTTCCCTCAAAAACAATATACAGGGTGTCCCCACAAAATTGTATACACACTTCAAATAATTATTAACTCCAATGGGTTAAATCTGAAAAGAAAGAAACATCAACTGAGCTGTTAAGAGTGGTACATTTTGGGGGGGACGCCTTGTATATGTTTTAAAATCAAAGGCTGTGTCACTTTAATTTGGTCAGTTCAGTCTGAAGACATCGCCGGGATCCAAGCTCAGAGAGCTGACTTTGATGATACAGGACACTGGGAAAGGAAACAGCCCTGGGATCTGAAGTTTTTAGCTGCCAAGGTTATGACACAATGTAAACAGAAAGCCCCGTGGACACACCCTTCAGTGGCATTAATCCCCCAAGGGTAAAGTTTTTAGGCCATGAGGGTCTTTCTAAATTCCTGCTCTAGAGCCACAGCGCCCTCCTAGACACTTCAGTTGTAGGCAAGCTTGGCTCCTGAAAGAGGCACTGAATCTAAGAAAGGATTTCATACCCATAAACACAGATCGATACATATCTGCATGCAATTAAAGCAAATTAATAAGCCCTGGTAACTTTCTGAACTGGAAAATGTATGTTATTTTTATAAAATAACGGCTCGTACTGCATTCATCGAACTAAAAACCTGTCACTTGAATAGGAAAGGCAATACTTTCAGTTATATTTCAGATGGATACACCGGTGTGCCCTGTTTTTAAAATCTATCAATGAAAATTCTTATCTTATAGGGCAGGTAACTGGAGAGTAACCCCACCATAAGTATGTCCACAAAACTGTTACAACCACAATATCATCAAATTATTGGTCAAATGCAGAGATACATTTAGTTGCATGTGTCTCCAGAGCAGATGCAGAGAATCGCGTTCTGCCGTAGGAATGAGGCTGCCAGGGGAAACAGAGGCTGGCCCTGTGAAATCCGTATTTAAAAATAAAAAAGCTAACAACCTTTTAGCATGACTGTGTCCCAAATATTGCACGTGACATACTTGTACTAAACAATTATTTGCTGTTTATCTGAAATTCGTATTTAACTGGGAACCCTATATTTTAATTTGCTAAACCTGTCAATCTTACCAAGGGGGAGGCAGATGGCCCACGCTGGGGATGGAATTCCAGTGAGTATAGCAAATGGGCCTACTCCAAATAAGGTACCTTTGCAGCTCAAAGGATATTGTGCTGAGACGAGATAACCAGGATCGTCTGTCTATATGAAAAGCAGTTTGTGTGTGATTTCTGAGAAATTCTCCCCGTGTGAATTTCCATAACTACTGTACAAAGGATCATAAATTAATAGCGCCTTCTGGAGACTGAATCATGATCTCTGAAACGCAGTAGGCCTCTTGGTCGTTTGTCTACGTATAACTCAAATTCTTATCTAAACAGCAGCGTTATTGAACTCTCCTACATAAACAGTGAGCATTATTGAAATCGAATAGCAGCATTAGGTGGAAAACAATTTTAACAAATAACTTCTCAGTCAGCATCCACACCCCGCCTCTCTCCTTGGTTATTAACATGATTTTGTGCTCATTTTTGGTTCCAGGAGCAAGTGAAAATCTCTTGGGGACTCGGCCTGCCTCTTAAAAACGTAAACACTGCCCTAGATAACTGAGAATTTTACAGCACTGGATAGAACTAGTGTGTCGATAATGTTTTTTCCTGCTCAGGTTTTATTTATCATTCTGAAGATTTTAAGTTTTCTGTGGACTCCGGGAATTGGAGCAAACGTTTAGCTAAGGAGCTCAGGTTGGTGACTACACAGGTTGTACAGAGATCTGGGTCGTATCATGATGAGGCCCTATCACCCCGGTTTCTTTCCTCAGCCCCCCACTGCTTCTCCTCAGGGCGAGGTTCCTAGAAATTTTAAAAAGGGGCCGAGCTGAGAGCCGTTCTCTGTCCCCCATCCAGCACTGCCGTGCTGTTGGGTTGGGAAGTCACTTTATCTCTTCGTGTCTTTTTGTTTAAAAATTAGGATGCTGGGGTCACACATCAGAACCACAGCCAACGACCTAGTTTCTGCAGCCACACGTCTGGTGTCGGCGTCTCCACCCGTGTTTCCTGCATTAGTTTGTAGTCACTTCTGAATTGTGGAGGAAAACACAGGGCAGTTTTTCTGGATCTTTAAGACCCTGTCACAGTCATTATCCCTGATGGAGGCAAAGACCCAGGTGTATTACATAAGGATTTCTACCTAAAATATAACGTAACTAGTGGGTAAAATCAATTTGCTTTGGAAAATTTGGCCCATGAACCCGAATCAAGACTCTTCCTTCCTACCAAGGAAATCCCCCTGTGGATGTGCCCTGCTCCTGAGAAGTAATCTCTGATCTTGGTAAAATAAAAGGCACAGGATAGTGTAAATGGTTTCACTGAAATAAGTATTTCATCATTGATCTAATTACTTAATGGAACTATTCTTCTTGTGAAAATTTAAAATAAATGTACTAAGGTATTGAAAACTTTAAAAGAAATTCCAGAGTCCAATTCAACCACTGCTAGAATTTACCGAGAAACTGATTTTGCTTTGCTAACTAGCACCTGCAATGATTCAGTCAAAAAAATCATGTAGAAAACATTCTGCTGCGAGCGCTTCATTGAGATAGATGATATTAGAAAGGAGAGAAATTATGCTCTGACTGTTCTTACAAAATAGCTCACTGAGCCCCATTCCACACACATGAGTTTGACGGATGTTTTTTGGTTTTTAAATTTTTCCTGCAGAGGTATTGTGAGAGCATTTTCAAAAGAATAAAATTTGATTAGAAAAAATGAATTCTTACTTATATTTGGGTACATTTCACCAAATGATACTTTCAAAAACACATGTCCATTATGTGTTTTGTAATCAAAGGAACATTTTAAATAATAAATACAAAGGTGTCATGGAAAGAAGCTGTGAAACAGGTGACTGCGTGAAAATCCTGGCTTCCCCAGCTACACATGCTGAGACCACAGGCAGGTGGCTTCATTTCTTTTCATCTCTCTGCGCTCAGTTTCCTCACCTGTAAAATGAGCTAACAGCAGGGCTATCTCATAGGTTATCAATAGAATGAAATTATGAATAATCAGTATAATTTTAAATTAATATGTAGTTCTTAGAATTAGTACCCGATTCATATCAAGAGCTACGTCAGTGTTTCCTGTTTTTACGGTAGCAGGAAAATCAACCTGTAATTTGTAAATAATAATTGTGTGCACGCTGTGATGTGAAGGTATTGGCAGGCAAAGATAAAGAAAAAAATGTTTCGACAGGTGGCCGAGGCTGGGGTGCTTGAGTGTAGTTGTGGAACCCAGGCCCCTGAGGATGGACTGCAGGGAGCAAGGAGGCCATTCGTTGGAGACGATGCTGAAAAGCAAGCTAGGCCCCGATGCCGTAGGGCTCTGCAGGCCTCGGCCACAAGCTCTAATCTTACTCCCTAAGGACTCAGAAACCTGGGGAAGGTTTAAGGGCAGGAGATTTGGCCTGACCTGATTTCCTATTGAATATAGCACCTTGGCTGCTCGGTGGGAGATGAACTTGGGGCCTTAAACTTGAACCCAGGAGGAGTAGGCGAGAAGCCAGGTGAGAGATGACGGTGGCTGGCAGCAATGGCAATGGAGGGGGCCCGAAGGAGGGAGGGAAAGATAGAGTGAGAGAGAGAGGAAAGGAAAGAGACGGGCAGAGAGAGCCAGAAACAGAGACACAGATTGTTTTAAGATGAGAGAGACCACAGCAAAGTTAAATGCTGATGGGAAAAGCAAGCAAAAAAAGAAAGAAATTGGTGCCGTGCCAGAGTGAGAGCCTATTTTCCTCCCGTCACCACAACAGATGCCTTATCAGAGAAACGCTCGCAGCTGCACAGCGCTTATTTCTCCTACAAAGTCCAGCAAAGCAAAGAATCGGCAACGCCACAACCCACGGGCGATGGCGTTTTCCCTCGTGGGCCTTTCCAGCCGTTTTCTCGGGAGGCACTAGCTCTGTGATACAGTCTTCAGAACAGAAGCCAGGTGTGTTCAGTTACAGCTTTATCCGTAAGTCAGCCATAAACTCCCTTTCGATTTAAGCATATCGTTGAAGTTGTCTTAGGATAATCGTGATCGTTGTGCATCATAAATTCTGAAATCTAGGAGGTTCAACGTGGTCTCTTTTGTCTCTTCGATTTCTGTCTTTATCATGTTCCTGCTTCCCTCTACCACCTGGAACGTCCGGCCCATACTATAGTCACTACTTTAATATCCTTGTTTCCTGGATCGGTTTCTATTGATTAATTTTTGTATTGGTACAGGTCATATTTTCTTATTTGAGGCCCTCGCAGAACAAAGTTATAAGCTTTCTTTTGTGTATTGTCTGCACACCACTGGTTTATAAATTTCCCAGTTATTTAAATGGAGAGCATAGACCATCATCAGAATCGAAGTTGCTTCGTGTTTTAATGCATTTAGGAAGCTCGTTCTTTGCTCACTGACTATACTCAACCCATAATAAAACGTTGAAAGTAAAGACTTCACTCAGCCAATTGACTTTTTTTCTCAATGACAAAAATATTTTATTTTATTCAAATTGGCCACATTTTCTTACACATAAGCCAACACACAACACTTGAATTTCCAGTCATAAAGATGAAATATAAATATACTTAAGTGAAACTGAGTTAATTATGGTGGTAAATGATGTAAAAATATTGATATCATTGAAAAATTAATGTTCTGGGAAGGATACGACACAACTTCATGAAACAAAACTTTATAGTTTTAATTTAGGGAGGTATGGAAAATTTGTTGCCCAAATATTTTTATTTAGACTCAGTCATTATCAGCTCAGCATTACCCCCTTTGAAAGCTTCATTACTTTGTCTAAGAAAGCCTTTGAGGTTTTTTAAATTAACATTCTATATGCAGAATGAGAGTAACGTAAAGCAGACCCGTGTCTATTTCCTTCTGTTTCTAACTGCCTCCTTGTGAGAATAAATTAGTTTTGGAAATATAAAAAAATAAAATCATCTATTTCCTGGGAATTTATATTGGGAATATATTGATTTTCATACCCATAATACTGTACTCATTTATACAGGGAAAAGTTAACCTATTTCAGTAGAAATTTGGGGTTGATTTCTTTTAAAAAAAATAGTTGACAAGGTGATTAGAGTGATAGCAGATATTTCCCCTTATCCCTCCTAGGTACTAATGTTGCAAAACATTCGGAAGAAGTGTCCCGCTACAGTGCCTTTTCCTTTTGTGATAAATTTGTGAACAACTTGGTGCTAGAAAAAGGTACTTGACTTATTGACTAGGATTTGGGAAAAGTTTTTTCCTAAAAACTTACACGTAAATGATCGAGGGTTTAGCATTACTATTATCGTTACCACCACCACCGCCACATTGCAGGCGTGGGTGGCAAATTGACCTTTTATAAAATGTGTTTATTTCCCATAACAAAGAGAATGAATAAGAATAAAGTCACCATGTTAGCTTAAAAAAAAACCAAAAAACAAAATTAATCCATCCATGATTTCAGGCAAATTGGAAACTGACTTCAGGAAGAAACTAGGCTTTCTGCTGGATGGAAACAAGCCAGCGTCTAACCTCTCTCTCGCTTGAAAGGGGGTCCTCCCTGTTTTCTTGCTTGGCATTTCTTCTTTTACTAACAGGATGACACTCACAGCAGCCCATGGCACATGAGATCTGCACAGTAGTACGCGGTACATTTTCAGAAGATCTTGGCATTATTTCAGCCGCGCCGAATGGTCGGTCCTGCGGTCACAGGCCAACCCGCGGCCTCACGCTGCCTGAGACGAGGCTGCAGTGTTTGAGGTCAGGCCCCGTTTGACTTTTAAATTACAGCTCTTAAAGGCATTTTGTTTCTGGACAACAAGAACCTAAACAAATCTTGTAGGAACATTTGTTCTATATGCGGCTGGTACTTTTCCTTACTTGCCAAAGCCTCAAATTCATTTTGCTCCAGGCCATAGACTAAGATGGGGG